CAGAAATCCTAAATGCTCTTCTCTCTTTTATCCACCATCCTTTCAACCTTGTGTCTCATAAAGAAATTGAGCTGCAGATGTTTACCTGGACCAATATGACTCAATAAAGGAAGTTGTGCTCTTCTTTAAGAATAAATCCCTTGGGGGCTGGAGAGATGACTCAAGGGTTAAGAGCATTGGCTGCTCTTTCAGCAGTCCTGAGTTCAAATCCCAACAACCATATGGTGGTTCACAACCATCTGTAGTTGGATCTGATGCCCTCTTTGGCAAAAAGTCAATAGAGCACTCATAAATACAAAATAAATTAAAAAAAGAATAAGTCCCTTGTTGAGGACTTACTGTGTGGCAAGAACTCATCTTGTTACTTTGCCTGAGTCTTTTAGATGCTCAACATAATCTCACAGGCCAGGCATTATGGCCTAACCTTATGCTGGGCATTTCAGGTGGATGGGTTGGTTAGTTGGGTGGTTGGGCTGGCTGGCTGGCTAGATGCTTGATTGGTTGTTTGGTTGGTGGAGATGAAGTCTTGCCTCATATCCCAAGATGACCCTAAATTTGTTGTATGACCTCTATCTTAAAAATTAGGGAAGCAAAACCTACAGAAGTTAAATCACTAAGGTGGCATAGCTAATAGGCTGTGAAGCTGAGACCTGAGTCTGGGCCCCGCCTGCCACATTGCATCAGTGGAAACCTTCTCAGAAAAGCATTCCCTATGAACAGTTTGCTTGAGGACTTGAGACCTCCCTCTTACAAGGAAGCCTGATTTTGGTATCATGCATGCCAGGACACTGCACGAACACAAAGAAAGATACATTCTGTCTTGCCAATGCCATCCATGGCCCTCACGTGCTGCCATAAAACGTCCCTGCATTCAGAGATTAAAGTAAGTTGGTGTCTCCATGCTCTTGAATGAGGGCGGCCAACCCTTCAGTCTCATCAGCAACTTGCACAACAGCCGATGTTGCCAGGCAGCTTCCTTTAAGTATGCAGGGACTACCCTGGTTGAGAAATTCCTTTCATTTCTCTATCAGATTTTCTTAGTATTTTTCTATGGATTTCTCACCCCACTCCCAGTAGCTAGTCTTAAAAAGTCATGCCAGTGGCCCCTCGAGCAATGCCAGTATCTATACCCTTCTCTGTCTCTGTGATTTTAGTGATGGAAATGCAATTGACTGGGCATACCGATTCATAGGCCATGTTGTCCCTGAGCCTCAGGACCCAAGAGCAGTACTGAATCTATTTATTATTGGTTAACTCAGTGTGTGACCTTGAACAGGTCTCCATTTCTCTACAAGAGCAAGACAGGGCCTCTTTGCATAAATAGATCTGTAACTGAAGACCGATCGCTCATCTCCAAAGTAACTCTGTGAGATATTATTTGTTAATTGCAGCTTCCAAGTTTTCATAAGATGCTGTGTCACCAGGCTTCCTGTGAAATGCTAGAGATGGGCAAACAGCAGTCAATTAAGGCCCATAGGGAACTTTCATCTCAATGGCTACATTTTGCTAATGAAGAAACTCACACCCGAGGAGGTGTGGAAAATTGTCCAAGGCCAAACAAGCCCCAAACCAGAATCAAAGACTTCTTTATTCCAGGTTAGAAATAGACCTTGGTATTCATAAGCCAACCCTCTTGGCTTTCGTGTTTATTTGTTTGGTTGATTTCGAGGGTCTTTGATAGCCTCTAATTTATTCATCATGTTGCAATCACTAAGCAAAAGTGAATGGTCAGAGTTTTCCTCAAAAAAAAAAAAGAGTCATGCAAATTGGAAACATTTTCTCTGCTTGAGAATAAAATTGGTTGAAAAACATGCAAAATTTTAGACATTTTCAGCAAAGTGTCTCATTCAAAGTCATCAGGCAAATGAGAGGCAGAGGCAGAACGGGGGAACTGGAGAGTTCCAGAGAGACGTGTGGAAGATAATGGGTTGTGACGGGCTGTCCATGCAATCCTCTGGCTTCCTAAAGTCCAGGCGGACGCCCACACTGTCAGATTGATTGATTGCAGCTCCCGTCCTAGAGTGTCGCCAATCCCCAGCACGTGGATATGGTTGCACATCTACTTCCAGAAGATTCTAGGTCAGAATAAAACCTTTCCCCTTTCAGCATCAATCGAGTTGCCAACAGTCAAACCATGGGAAGCAGGGTCCTAATGAGCCAGTTTTGTGACCACTGGGAGGTAAGCCAAGAAGATGGAAGCAGAGAGAGAAGAGAGCCCAGATCCGGTTCTCGCTGGGCTTTGGAGCCATCTCTTGAACAGATCTGACTCTGGGTACGAGCTTTGCTCTTTCCTAGTCCCAGCTTCCCTGGATATAAAAATACATGTTTGGCAACTGCTCTGAAAGTTATTGGAGTCGTGGCAGTAAACTATGAAAGGCCAGAGAATTTCAAGCAGAAGTTATTGCATCGGTAACTCAGAAACTAATCCCTAAAACTCCTGACACGTTTATCCTGAGGGCGAGCGCCAATCCACAAATGGAAACCATGATCAAGGGCCACTGTGTACCTGGAATTAGAATCCATCATTCTCGGAGCAAAGAGCTGAGATTTGGGCAGAAGAGGGGAGGACTCACGCCTTTCAAGACCGTCTTTCCTCTAACCCAGAGGCCTTTATGCTTCAGAAGAACACAGCAGATTCTGCATTCTCTGCTTATTTGTTTTTCTTCTCCTTAAGAACCCCTCGTTACATTTTTTTCCTTTCAAATATTTCTTTCTGTGACAGTTCCACATTTAAACGGAAAAGCTTCCTTTTCCTTATTCAATTGCACCGATTTTATTTGGGATGGAAACCCTGCTGGGTACCGTAACAGAGAAGAAGCTTTACAGCGGCAATAATCCCTTCTACAGCATCTATTGTGGGAAAACTTAATCCACTTTTATTAAATGGCTGAAGACTTGACTCTAGCGATCTGAATTAACTACAGCAAAGCACAGAGACAGAACAAAAGTCCCCACTTCCTTCAACAGACATCCACTTCATGCCTCACAACCCTGCCTTGCAGAGACCCAAGACAGAAAACTGCCTCTTGGGAAACACCTTTAAGAAGGATCAATGTTGCCTTAAGCAATACCATTATTACCAACAGTGAACCAAGGCAGGCTGGGGAACTGGCTCAGTTGGAAAAATGCCTTCCAAGCAACCACAGGGGCCCAACTTTGGATAAGAGCTGAAAGCGACATCTGTGTATGATTGCAATTGAGCAGGAACAGGCAGATTCCCAGAGCAGGACATGGGTGTCAAAATGCCCAGCTCTAGGTTCAGCGATAGGCCCTGTCTTGAAAACTGAGGTTAAGGAAGATGTCTAGCGTCAACCTCGGACCCACACACACACCTACATGCCCTTACATGCACCTAAATGCACCCACACAGACACCTATGTCTAAGATAGAAAAGAAGGAACAGGTAGGACATTAGTAAGAAAATGCAGAAATGGACCCTCAGCCTCATTGGAGCGAATGAGAGCACGCTTCAGAATTTAACTGGACACACACTTGGGCCTTGATTGTAGTGATTTAGGTAACTACACAGGTAGCTTCAACACAACCGTATGCCCACGGTGTTAAAAACACAACCAGTGAGCGACAACCTCATCCATGTCCATCGCCTCCAGACATGCCCTGGGTGGCACTGTGCAGTCACAGACAGGCACATGGAGGGAGGGGCCGCTTGGGTAATCCACAGCCGAGGCTGTCCACTGAGGTGGTGCCTATGGCCGGCTCCAGACAGCGGGTGCCTTGAGTTATCTGAAATTTCAGGATTGCTGGAGACTTAGTTTGATTTCATTTTGCTATTTTTGCAGTGACCATCCCTTTATAGTTTGGTGTGAGGGATTAAAGATTTGCAAACAAAAATTTAGTCCCTTTCCCCCAACAAAAACCCTTAATCTTGCCATACCTCAGCCCACCCTGGTAGTGAGAAATATAGAATACTGTCATGATCTTTTGGTATATACCCAAGTCAAAAACCTCTAATTTATATGCTTTAATTTATCAAATTATGTATCAGTGCAAGCAATTTATAATGTGCAATTATACCCCAATAAAATTGTCTTTAAAGAAAGAAAAATAATAATTCAGGTAATTTCTATTCCTCACAGAAATTTGTTTAAATATGCAATTATAATGAACACAAGTGCTCTCCTTTCCTCATTCTCTCTCTCTCCTTCAGTCATATATATAGTATACGTAGATATAGATATATAGTGATATATATTGTGATGTGTATATAGTAGTATATATTGTGATACATAGTGTGGTATATATATATATATGTTGTCATTATTGAAAAGGAAACCGGATGTTCCCATAAGTGACAGGAGACTGTCCCAAGAGGTTAATAGCCTGAACATGGTGTAAGAACGCTCCTGTGGCTAATCCTCTGCTCTCTGGCGGTGTCAGCATCTGCGATCACAGACGGATGCAGAGCTCACCATCAAGCCTGCTTCCGTCTTCTTCTGTTTGCACTGTTTCTCAAAGTCCATGTCAATCTTTGGTGCCTTTTACCCCAAAGTACATGCTTCGGTGCACTTTAATTTTGCAGCTGTAAATAAGTAATTCTCACTAGCTTCCCATAAGTAACTGCACAGCAAACGTGGGGATGATGAGACTTTGGGCAGGCCAAAACCAAGTGTTGCTTGATAATTATGAATAGGCTGGTAAACTTTGGGAAACTGTTCTTTGACTCTGCTGCCGGGTTATCTCATGGATGGATGTCCTTCCTCTATGAGTTTAGCTACAGAATGACGTCAAAGATTTGCAACTGTTTGGAAATGCCACTGTCTACAGTGAGTTTGAGAATGGGATTTCTGAGTTCACTGAACAGACATGAGACAGATGTTTCTCTCAGGGTCACTGTCCTCAATACTGTTTGGGGTTCCATCTCCTGGTGCCCATGAAGAATGGGATACCTCACTGCAGAGGAGTGACTGTCTCTGCAGGCTGGGCTGGCTTCTCATCACTATTTTCCTATGCTTCCCTCCTCTGCCTTCCAATGTATCCAGCTGGACCGTGCTGCATGGGAGAATCGGACGCCCAGAGAACCCATTCCGAGTGGCCCTGGAATACATCTCCAGTGGTAATCGAAGCTTGTCTGCAGTGGACTTCTTTGCCCTAAAGAACTGCAGTGAAGGTACGTGGATCTGTCCTTGTCTCTCTCTCTCTCTCCTCTCCGGCCTGTCTTGAATACATCAATGACTGTACTTAGCTTGAATACAAAGTCTGCAGCGATTAGGAACTGATTCTGAACATCGGCAAGTGCCCCACAACCCAGGAAAGCAATTTTCAAAGAATTCCAGAATAAGGTTTTATCTACTTATCTTAAAATTTTATTAAGTGGAATACAGCCTTTCTTAGATAATATGCTAACTTGACTTCTGTGGCGACAAATGCTTCCTGCCACTTAATAATATTTTATCACGAAAAATGTAATTGAACACCAAGTAAATAGAGTGGTATACGAATCCCCACCTCCCAGCCGCAGCCCAGCTTAGCAGTTAGCAACATTCTGTCATTTTGTTTCACCTACATCTCCATCCACCTCTCGCCCTCCCCGTAGCTTAATGGTAATCACTATTTGGCTTTTTCTGGAGGCGAAACTCAGGAGTAATTTTATTGGTTTTATCTGGGCTCTTTAACAGACAACACTGAAAATGGTTAGATGTGGAAATTTAGCTTACTTTAGTTCAAGCCTAATGGGCGTGGCCCACTGTGTCATTGAACCTCTTTTGCACAGACGCCACATTGTGACTTTACCTCAAGGTAAGCTTTTATTCTTTCTTTCCTTTTTAACCTTTGCTTCCAGACAACCTAGCCAAATGCAATACTCATCATGGGATTCAGGCCTTCGTAGGCCTCTGGTGAGCTTGTCTTCTTCCCTCTCTAGGTCTGAGTCTCCTATCCTGGTTTTCAGCATCCTATTTTGTATGCATGTTTCCTTAAACATTGCTTCAAGTCTGAATGGAAAAGAGACTAACACAAACCAGTGATAGCTATGTGAGGCTGAGCCCCCCCTTGCACATCAGAAGGCTCCCTGTCTACCAGAAGCATCCTCTGTTCCTTCCCAAACGTACGAATAAAGAAAGGCTTCAGGAAGGCATCACTTTCGTTGATGCTTCTGTCCCTGCTTCTGCTCAAAGCTCCACTGAAGGGCACTCTTGTGTAAGTAGCCTCTGACCTGAGCAGCCTAAGAATAAAACATGGAAATGAAACATGGAAATAAGCCAGTGGTACTTATAGACCTTAATTCTCCATTATTTTACTTCTCCATTAGGATATGTCTTCGTTTTTGGTTTTTCGAGATAGGGTTTCTCTATAGCTTTGGAGCATGTCCTGGAACTAGCTCTTGTAGACCAGGCTGGCCCCGAACTCACAGAAATCCATCTGCCTCCCGAGTGCTGGGATGAAAGGTGTGCGCCACCACCACCAGGCTTCCATTTAGAATAGTTGTGAGCAAGCATGAAGGCCCGTTCACAGAGAGTCATCTGTTGCGTATAGAGGCCCGGATTTGAAGCTAATGCTCTTAGTTGTGAGGTGGAACAATGACTCTGCTCCTTCTGTCACTGTGACTGTCCATTCATTGATGGCCTTCCAAGAATTTCCACAAGTGACTTTTTTTTAATGTTCTTGTTTCCATCATAACTGATTTCTATGTGGGGGGAAAGAAAACTCATCATCATGTGACAGAATGAACTGGTTACAGTGGAAACGGTGGTGAACCTGTGCTGTGAGGCCACACTTGAGAGAATGTGGTTTGGGATTGAGCCGGGAGTGTGCGTGAATGTTTCCACATTTGTGAACGTGAGGCTCTGTGAAGGTCTCTGGACGCCGTCAAACTTCATAGATGTTAAGGATCTGTTCCATCCAAAAGGCACCCTCAGTTGAAATGTAACCAGCTAATAGAACTGTCTGTCACATGGAAAAAACATCAGTTTACACAAATGGCATAATCTCATTTGAAAAAAAAATCAAGGAAAAAAAAAAACCAATGTAGTACAAAGGCCCAGATATCAGGTCCAGCACAAAATACCACCAGCACGCCTGGCTCTGCAAAAACTCTTTGCATTCTCAAATTAAGAATTTCAGCCAGGTACACGGATGTTTCATCCCTTGTTTTGCAAGCCCCCCTCACCTAGAGAATTCTTCCCCTGGGGTTTGTGTTGTACTGCAGTGAATATGTTACAGAACTTAAGCTTGTAATTTAGCTGTTTCTCCATTCTTGCAAAACAAGGACTTCACCTCCTTCATTGATCTTCCATGAGTCAGAAAATTACCTCTGCAGAGCACTCTCTTCTGCCTCTTTCTGATCAAGAAATCTGGGAAAGTTTTTAGTGTCCAGCCACCTTCCTGTCTCTAGGTCTGGAGGCCTCAAGTCCAAGGACAAGATGATCTTCATGGAGAAACAATTGAATCTCTGCATCCCTGCATCCCTCCTTTTACCCAGAATGCGTTAACTACCAATGCACAAAAAGGACCTGTTATGGGCCTGTGAGAAAATAAAGCAGAGATCCGTGATGTCAGAATGTCCTGAGAACTTGGCATCCCTCTTCCCGCAATGGAGCAAATTCAGAGGATGTAGACGAGATCAGAACATAAGAATCACCCTAATACTGCACTCACGTGTTTAAAACTCAAGGGGATTTAGGGTGATGCTTTGGTACATGCTTGAGGCCTTTGTGTTATAGACAAGAGCCTGTGGTTTCTGGGGTCATGGCTTTGGTTAGGTCATGAAGGAAAGAGGAGGAGAAATAGCATCTTTGAGGTGTGGACCAAGCTGATGACATGCTAGCCAGGGGTGTAGATGGGTCTACAAGGTATCTAGTCTATTACCCAATTGTAACTTGATTCCCCCTCAAAATGAGGGACAGATAAAGTCTGAAGGGGAACACAGCTAATAACGCTACTCCTCTTTCTTGACCCCAGTGAGAAAGAGCACTGTTTTAGCTCATCTAGAGAAGGCTGACAGGAGATGTTGGGCACAGTTCACCCTGCAAGGGACACAACATCTATCTGTGGTGTCTTCAGGATGACCGAAGATGTACCTATTTTCTTTTTCAATACTGACATCTGTCACAATGTGCACATTTAATCTAATCAATGCTCAGTTAATGTACACCAATGTTGATGGGACATTTGCAGATGCTGAGGCTCAGAGTCCACCTCCCCTTCCTCTGTACTGTTTGCCACAGCTTTGCAATAATGGTAGAGACCAGGGGCATTTCTCATATTTCTCATCCCACAAGCAGAAAAACTGAATGTCACGGGTGTTTCAAAACTTGCCAAAATCTCTAAAACATGGAGTTGAACCGAATCCAAAGTTGATCTGATCACAAAGCCACCGACTCATCCTTGACACTCTCTTGCCTTTGCAGAAGGTGCAGACGCTGAGGTTTGATCTGTTACTGTATGCGGTAGAATTCTCTCAACTCCTTCCTGCTCCTCTGATCCCTACACTAAATGGACCAGAACACTGAGCTCATGGCCAGCTTGTATTCTATTATAGGTGCCACATTGCAGACTCTTCACTGTTGTTGGTTGTTGGTTTGCTTGTTTGCTTCGAGACAGAGTTTCTCTGTGTTGCTTTGGCTATCCTGGAAGACCAGGCTGGCCTCGAACTCAGAGATCCACCTGCCTCTGTCTCCCTAGTGCTGGGATTAAAGGCATATGCCAGCCCCATCTGGCTGGCTACTTTGCTGACTCTTGAATTTATCCTTCAGACTTCATTTTCTTAGCCATATGCCCTATTCTTCTTACATCCTTTTTGTATATGAATATGGACTTTGGCATCAGTTAGGTGGTCTCCCTAAGACTATTGTTCATCTTTCTCACACTGCAAATTGCAGTGTTCCCTTTCCTTGCAGTCCCTTCAATGGGGCACAGTTAATCCCTAATCCCCTCTTATGTCAGAAAATATTATGGGGACTGTGCTGTACCTCCTTGCTCGGGATGTGTCACTGGGAGCCACTGAAATCCTGCTTGGATGACTTTGACGTCGTCTGCATCTAAATCCCACAGTCGTTTGCCAACTAGTCATTGGGGGACCCTAACTTGAGGTCCAATACATTGTCCTTTATTTCTTTGCTTCCTCAAGGGGGCAGTTATCACTGTGCCAAGCACGTGGGAAACAACACACAAATGCTTGTTGACAGATTGGTTAATCAATGGATTAATAAATACTGATCCTGTTTCATAGCTCCAGGCTAGTGCAGCGAACCTACTTCCAAGAGAAGGTAGCTGTGAGTAGAAATTGCCTGAAATTGGGCAGAAAAGCTAGTGAAAGAACAGTCTATACCCTGAGTATGGCTGAGCAGGACACCAACCTCCAGAGACACGCGAATATGGGCTCCCTTATCCCGTTCATAAAAAGCCTTTCATTGTTAAACAACCCAGAGGTCACTCCCCAAGGCCCCCCCACTTTAGAGAGATTCCTACATAAACCACGTGGCCCAGAGTGAGCAGGACCAGATCCTGAAATGGCATGAACAGCATCCACGGGGCTGTGAGCAACTTGCAAAATACACATTGTAAACGCTCATTTAGTACTTCCTCACACCAGGCCCTGCCCTGTGTGTGTTTCTGTTAGTTTCCTGCATCCTCGCTCCAGTGCTGAAAGCTGTGTACCGTTGTTACTACATCTGTTAGTTGGATGGGGACATTGAGGCTCAGCAAATGAAGTCATCACCCCCGAGTCACAGCTGATAATTGGATTGGAAGTCATCCGACTCTCAGCTGCTTCCTAAGGAAGATCACCACCAGAAGAGTGACTACATCGAAGCGTAGTGACCGAAAACCTAAAGCATTCCCTTGGAATGCGATACATTACATTGCTGACCAGCCTACTGTGCTTCATCCTTCCACCTCCTCGACCTCAGCATTTCCAAGAAACCAATGCCGCATTCCCCTCACCCTTCCACCACTGTCAAGGGCCTTTGGGATACACCACTGCCTACTGGTCCAAAGGAAACTAAAGAACTTAAAAGGACCAACATGTGTAAAACGAGGAGGGAGCTGCGACCGACTCCCTTGGGAACCTAAATACACTTTCTTCCCAGGCCCCAGAATTCCTCTTCTCTTTCACGAACCTGCACGAAACACATCTGAGCTTTCCCAGACCAGAGTCATGTTCAACTCGCT